GAGGAAATTAAAGAAGAAATTAGACAGTTTCTACAAGTAAATGACAATGTCAGTACAACATACAGGAATCTATGGAACACAATGCAGAAAATTTTTTCTATCCAGAAAATTCATAGCAGTGAATGCCTATATTAGGAAAACAGAGAGAACTCAATTAAATAACCTAATGAAGAACCTCAAGCTCCTAGAAAAAGAAAAGCATAACAAACCCAAAGCTCATACAAGAGAGGAAATGATAAAGATCAGAGCAGAAATCAATGCAATGGAGACTAAGAGAATGATACAAAAAATTAATGAGTCAAAGCATTGGTTTTTCAAAAGAATAAATAAAATCAATAAACCTTTAGCCAAACTTATCAAAAAAAAGGAAAGAAAGGGCTCAAATCCATGCAATTAAGGACGATAAAGGTGAAAAAAAAAACGATAAAGGTGAAGTCACAACAGACTCAGCAGAAATCCAGAGGATTATCAATACCTACTTCGAGAACCTGTACTCTAATAAAATGGAAAACACAGAAGAAATGGACAGATTCCTAGATACATACGAATTGCCAAAGTTAAATGAAGAAGATAGAGAAATTCTAAACACCCCAATTACAATGAGTGAAATTGAAAATGTAATGAAAAATTTACCAACAAAGAAAACCCCAGGTGCTGATGGATTCACTCCTTAATTCTACAAGACATTTAAAGAAGAACTCTTGCTAGTACTCTTTAAACTCATCAAGGAAATTGCAAGGGAAGCAAGGCTTCCAAATTCATTCCTGGAAGCAAGTGTTACTTTGATTCTAAAACCAGGGAAAGACCCAACCCAAAAAGAGAGCTACAGGCCAATCTCCCTAATGAAGATAGATGCAAAAATCCTCAATAAGATACTGGCAAACAGAATACAGAGTGTCATCAAGAAGGTCATACACCCTGACCAAGTTGGATTTATCCCAGGGATGCAAGGATGGTTCAACATTTGTAAATCAATAAACATAATACTCTATATTAACAGTCAAGGACAAAAACCATATGATCATATCAATAGATGCAGAAAAGGCATTTGACAAAATCCAACAGCATTCATGATAAAAACCCTACAGAAAATTGGAATACAAGGTCTTTATCTCAACCTGATTGAGGCTTTCTATGAAAAGCCAATAGCCAACATCATATTAAATGGTCACAAACTGAAAACTTTCATGCTAAAATCAGGAACAAGACAAGGACGCCCACTATCACCACTCCTGTTTAACATAGTTCTGGAAATATTAGCCACAGCCATTAGAAAAGAGAAAGAAATAAAAAGAATAAAGATAGGAAAGGAAGAAGTTAAACTGTCATTATTTGCTGATGATATGATACTTTACACAGAAGTCACAAAAAACTCAGCCAAAAGACTTCTAGACCTAATTGACAGATTCAGTAGAGTAGCTGGATAGAAGGTCAACACTCAAAAAACAACAGCCTTATACACAAATAGACTCACTGAGAGAGAAAGTCAGGAAACAATTCCTTTTACAATAGCATCCAAAAAATGAAATATCTATGAATCAACCTAACAAAGGAAGCAAAAGACCTCTACACTGAAAACTACAGCACTCTGAAAAAGGAGATCGAGAAGGATA